CCTCCACCGCCATCACAACCGTCACCACTGCCGCCAACAACAACAAGAGCATCACTACATCATCCTCCTTAGTTTCCTCCCTATCCTCACACTTCCCTTTTTTATCCAAGTACTTCCGCTGTCCAACTTCGGCTAATCCGTTTGCGCACCCACTTCGTCTCAGCTTTTGGCATTAACGATGTTGCGCCATTACCATGAGGCATCTTTGCGTTTGCAACACTGTAAGATTCCATGGGCGATCCATTGAACTCTATCACAGAAGAGGCTCATGAATGAGTGCCAGACGTGCGCCAGGGCCTACTAACATTCTGTCACCGCAGCCTCTGTACATTGGCTACTTTCATTATCGATGGATCTAGTGACCTATCATTCACAAATTCGTCTTTGCTCAGTTATTAGATGTGTAGTAAGACTAGAGACGAGGCGTCTAGTCTCACTTTACCTTCTTTTTCCACAGGAAGTTCCTCTCGATCACGTACTCAGCTGACGGCGAGCACCTTCTGGCTGGCGGTGATTCCAAATTCATCTGCCTCTACTCCATCCCCGATCGGTTGCTGTTGAAGCGCTTCGAGATCACCGTGAATCTCTCCTTGGAGGGCGTTCAGGAGGCACACGATCGGCGTCGCTACCTCGCCAACTACAGCGAAGAGGCTGCCGCCGCGAAGGAGGACCACCGTGAAGCCCTGCCTCTGCCAGGGGTTCGAACCGGCATCGATCAGAGTCGTCGCTGGTGGCGACCGGATGTGCGCGTCACGTGCGTCCAATTCTCGCCTACAGGTGAGTTAAAAATCTTGGAGACCTCATATAACCAACTGAACCTTGTGTGTTGAGCGATCCACTAATGGCGTAGGCCGACAGGGGTCCTTCGATTCCCAACCAAACGACGTCTGCTGCGCGTGTGCACGTGTCTATCCAAATACTGGAGCCGTTTCGCTAATGTTGCCTTGGCAACGCCTGACAATTTACAACTTGGCCCCCTTCCTCGATGCCGCTTTGGCCTTCCTGGAAGACGTTTCCACGGTCCACGTTGTTTACTGCCTAAGTGAATGCGACGTGGAGTCTAGGATAGCAAGTAGTCCTGTTAAATGCCCCCATTGGCGAGTTGAAAGCGATCTGGTTTTGCTAATTTTGCGGAAGAGGGTACTGTTTAGTCGAGGGACACTCTAAACGAGTGTGCTTTCATTCGCTTGATGTCAAGTTGTGAATCGCGATCGTGTCCACGCAAACTACCTTTGTGCTAATGAAAATTTTCTTAATTATCCGTTCCATTAGTCTTTTTTGTGGTCCCATCGACAACGTTGGTCGCAAACTGGTGTTAAGTACAACACAGACTAAGAATTTTCGCTTTGGCGCCGGTTCTGTTTTGATCTATTTAAGAAACAGGTAAGCGACGGTGACAACTTTCTTGGTACGGCTTTCGAGAATCAAAATATGCAACACTTTGGGTGTTTGGGAGTGTTGCGGACACAAAATCACTCCCCTGCGTTCTCCCAAATTCCAATTTACTCACCTCTTTCCAATATCCATCTGCTAATTTGTGCATTTCACTACTCTACATCGAGTTATGCAAAAATGCGTCCTTGCGCTGAATTGAAGCTCGCTTTGGGTTGTGTACAAAGCATTGCGTTTAACTGATTGGATTCGTAGCTGTTTGTCAGACGAAGCTTCGCTATCTGTCAGGCAACTCTCGCGATTCCGAGCTCGTGGAATTCTTCGTCAGCAAACGACTCGACCAATTACGATTCCTAGCCGACGTCGTTCTTACCGGGCCGTTTACGATTCAATAAGTCACCGTATCGATTTGAGACCTGCAAATAATGACCCCTATCTTGCGATTGGTCCTACCAAGGGTTTAGAGCGTCAAACGACCTAGAAACGACACATCAGTTGCCGAGGCGGGCGTTCTCATAGCCACCAATCGACTATGTTACTGTGACAGCATCAGCCACTAAAGCTGATTCTCGATCAATTCGTTAAGTTCACGGCTGACTGTGGACATCTAGTCTGGCGTAAGCTATCCTCGTGTTCTCACCTGGAAATGCGGCCATTGGGTTACGTGTTAGCGATCATCGTGCCGTCACCTGGTGACCGGATCAACAGGGTCAAAATGCGCTGGTTGTTTCAAAACCAGACT